TGGAGATGAAACTAGAGGAGGGGACAATTTGGGGAAATGAAGAAAACCAGCCAACAGGGCACACAGAGGAGGATGGGGGGTTGGAAGGGTGAGGGCACAGCATAATTGAATATATGTATGAAAAATGGGAGTGGGGAGGAAGGATTGTACAAGGAACTTTGGGGATAAAGGGAAGGAGCTCAAGAGAACTGGGACCATAGGAGACTGGTAGCATCAAGGGAGAAATGGGGGAAAAGGGAACACTTTAAATGGGGAAGTCATGGTGCAAGGGTTAGACAGGGTGAAAGAGAGGAGAGAGATAAATAACGCCTAGCTAGTGTGAAAAGCCAGAGGGAATCATATTAGCCCAGCAACCTAATGACAAATTACACATGCAATATCTCCAAATGAGTCCATGTGTATAGCTAAAGGCCACATAACAAGAAACAGTTCCAGACAGGAGAAACCTTCTTTTGAGTTGATGGCCAGGGTAATCCAAAAGATTCCCAAAATTACACAGGCTATTGCCACAGCCCTTAATTGCCTCACAGAACTTGAAGGTAAGACCCTACTGCTGAAGACAGAACTTACTTTGGAAGCAGGATTTGGAGCGATGGAGCCCAGACTGACCTGGGAGGCACTTTTCCTGAAGGCTACCTCTCATAGCTTTGGAAAGCAGTATGCAAGGTGCTAAGGGAGCACATCAATCAATGGTCTAATACCAGTTTCAAGACCAAATAACTACATAAGAGACCTGTACAGCATATGATATTGGTGCAGTTGTGGCACTTTTATCTTGGGGGCAATCAAGAGCTACCTAATTGGACTAAAAGCCCACTCAATGGGAGGACACTCATGTGTGGTACTGTAAACATAGCCAAATACACATGATGGGAAAAGTCATAGATCTTACAGAAAACCCCCAAATTGTCACATTCCTAGACTAATGTAATTTCTTACTATGTGCAAAATATGTATCCTTACATTTACAGACATATATTCCAGTAACCACTCATCAAAGAAGCTTCTTTGCACCAGACAGAGACTATTACAGAGTACCACAACTTGTCACACACAGACATTGTCTATGAATTGCCCAAGTCTAAGTGGCACATCTATAATGCAACCTCTAAACCTAAGGCTCATGGAACATAGAACAAGGGGGTAAAGAAGACAACAATGAATATCTCAATTCTCATTAATGAAGCTTCTTCATGCAACAGAGGGCCAGGAACACAAAAGGTCACAAAGTGTGGAAAATAACAGTCTGCAGAATGCTGGTCCTTGGACAGGACTCCTATATTAAACTACACCCACCCAGGGCTCAGGGACCATTGCGGAAGTGGGGCAGAAAGATTGTAAGAGCCAGGGAAGAGGTGCATGACCATATGGAAAAAAGAGTCATACAAGCTCCTGGGACCCTGCTCATATGAACCTGCAGCAATGGTGTCAGCATGCACAGGACCCATGCAAACTCAAACAGACAAAAACTCAGCATAGAACTGGAGAAATGGGCAGCAGACCCCAATCTTAGCTGAAAAAATATTGCCAACTGATTACTGCTGGGTGAGGAAGAGCTGATCTTCCTAAACCAAGAGACTCTAGATAGGCTGACTGGATCTCAGTAGGTGAACTTGCACTGAGGGACATCTGGGGACACTAACTTGACACAATAGGCCTTAAGACAAATGACAGAATGTATGAATTCCAGTGAGGGGGCTATGGGAAAGTACCAGTAGGGAAGAGGGAATAAAGTATAAAGATAATTAAGATTGATTGAGATGTTCTGTATGAAATACACAAAAATTCAATAAAAATAAATACACAAAAAATAATATGCCATAAGGAAACATTACTTGGCACACTATCATAAAAAACAATTTTAAAAATTTACATCATTTTTTTAAAAAATGTAAAGGAGCACACCACAAAACAGAATATGCAAGTGGTTGATGAATATATAAAATTCAACAAATTCCAGTAGTCTTCAGGGAAATGCTATTTTATTTTATTTTACTTTGTGTGTGATATGTGTACATGTATGTGTGTGTCCAGATACACATGTACCACAGTGCTGTGGAGGTCAGAGGACGACCTCAGGTGTCAGTCACCTTGTTGGAGACAGAGTCTTTGCTCTTTGCCACTGCACTGTACACACCAGGCTAGCTGCTCGTTCCTGGGAATTCTCCTGTCTTCCTCTGCCTCCACCTCCCATGTTATAGTAGGAACTGGGATTACAGGACACACAGGACCATGCCTGCCTTTATGTGCTTTTATGGCTCCTCACACTTTCACAGTATGGGCTTTCTACTGAGCCATCTCCACAGCCTGAAGATGCTATTTTTAAAACATCATGATACACCACTATATTCCCAGTAGACTGACTACAATGAAAGACACTAGTACCTATTGAGTAGGGTGTGGAAGTAGAGCCTCCACACATAATGCCAACGTCAGTGGATATTGGCAGAACATATTTAAAAAGTCTTCAGCACAGTGTCCTAAGCCAGCACATAAGCATCTTTTATGATGCAATAGCCATGTGTGTTATAGAAAATAAACATGCAAAGACTATTCAAAGTGTCAAACCCTTTTCCCTAGGTATACTAATATTCTTATCTCTGCCTTGAAATACAACTCCCTGTTGTGAAAGAAAGTGCCTAGAGATAACTCCTGCATCTTGGACTAAATTCCTGAAAGACTGACCAACTGATTAGCACTCTGGAGATTGTGGGGTATCTGGAATGTTTCAGGTCCACAGCCAAATTACCACTTACCTCAGGCTACCTTTAACCCCTAAATAGCCATTTCTTTCCCATCTCTGTTTGTGACCTAACATCCCATGACTAACAGATGAAAACCTTTTGGAATGCATTAACTGCATACCACCAGATCTCAGCAATCCGAAAGCTAAGAATGTCATCAGATAGCATGTGGTTCTATAGGAGAAACCCCCCCTTACTTGCTTTGCTGCAACCCGCCTACTGAATGTAACCACCCACGTATTTGAAAAGTGTCTTGATTTATGACTTTTCTTGGTTCTGTTACTATAAAAACATAATGTAACTGTTACTGTTACCACTCTGGAACATAGGATTTGGAGTAACCTGAATCTGTGTTCCAGGGCCATGGTCACTCATATTTGGCTCCAGAATAAACTATCTTATCGCTTTGAGGTAAGAGTTATGCTTTTGTGTCAACACTGTAATATAATACACGGTACATAATGATGTAATGTTCCAACTGACCACAATACTCTTGCAGGTTGGACCTGAATGTTTATTTGGTAATAAAGAGGATAAACAAATGGTGATGAATTCACAAGTTTATGAAACAACAGGGGACTATTTGCAGGGATATTCTCTGCACACATCATATTGAATGATAGATGGTGATTTTCCTGCAGGGTTTTAGTGAGGGTAAGGCAGGAAGGGAACTTCTGGCACTTACAGTTTGGGCTTTTGGGTTTTTACTTCAGAATAGCTCCATTTGAAAAAAATTCAAGCTGGACACATCGTTTCATGTTCATAAACCTGAGCACTATAATTTATAAATAGAATAAAATCTCACTGAAAGATATTTCATATTTTTTCATTTATTTTTGATTATATTAGGAGAGGCAGATTTTACATGATAGCTTCAAACCAACCACTGTACATTAACCAAGTTTTACACAAGCCATTTGAAAAAAGATCTAAAAATGTGCTTAGTTATTGGTATTATATAACATTTATCAAGCACCAAGAGTGTGCTGAGAGCGACACAGAGCAAACATCAAAAAGACACAGTCCCTGCCTTCGAGGAAGCCCACGCTTTAGGGTCTTGTACATAAAATTTCACCTTACATTCCACACTCTTTTGTTCATAAGGCATAAATAAGGAAGTTTGTTGCATTTCTCATTGTTAATAAATATCTAGTACTCTTCTTTGCCTTAAAATACAAATTTCTGTTGTACAATATATAGTATACACTGATTTGATGTTCACACAATTGACCACAATATTCTGGAAGGTTATATTAATAATAGGAAGCATGATGAATTTCAGCATTTACAAATTCTTATACCATTTAACTGTTAGCATGGGGGGTTGTTTTTAAAAATAAACAAGCAAATGAGGTGTCGTTGTAAACAAAATCCACACTGCCTGACCCCAACAAGGAACCAAGACAACAGGAACAATAGCACAGACTTTCAGAGCAATGGTTTCATCCTATCTATTAAACTATCCTTGCAGATATATTATTCACATGGCTGCATGCTCTAAAATAGGAACAATCTGTGATTAGCTGGCAATGGATGATGTATGATCGGCAGTTTAAACAAGGGAGTGCTGGACTAAAATGATAGTTGAGAACTGAGAAGTTCTTTTGTTTGGTTTTTGTAAATTTTCTTTTCTGCAAGGCTGTGTTCAAAACAAATTCAGATCAGTAAAGAGGATGAAATGATTCTGAATTACATCATTGGCTATAGACATTTGATTTTAAAATAATCCTTTCAATGATAGTGCCATCTGATTAGTTGTTTATATTTTATTTATTTTATGTGTATGAATGTAGTACTTTGTATGTAAGTAAGTGCACCCATGTCATGCAATGCCCACAGAGGTTGGAAAAGGGCATCAGTTAAGTAAGTGCACCCATGTCATGCAATGCCCACAGAGGTTGGAAAAGGCATCAGATTCCCTTGGAACTTGGGTTGTGAATGGTTGTTAGCCACCATGTGGGTGTTTGGGAATGGAACTGGGTTCTCTGCAAAAGCAGTGAGTGCTCTTAACCACTGAGCCAACTCTCTAGCCCCTAATTAGTTTTTAAATGCAAAAAAAAAAAAGTGAATTTGGATGGTTCAGTGACATTAGATTTGGGTACCAAAATATGTACATTTTGTAAAAATTGTAAAGTATGATGGAAGATGACACTCAATACAGGTCAGTCAATCACCTTCACCTTCTCAGGGGGGGCACTGCAACAGGAGATGAGGGACACATCTTATAGGGAGGGTGGATATTTTTTTCTCACCCAGACTCAGCCTTACTTCATTCTACAAATTGAGGGATTGGAGAAGTTAAGGTAAGTCTGAGACCCAGGGAAAGAAAGCGTGTGGTCAATGGCAAAGGGATCTGACTGGGAACTTCACGCTTAACAGATTTCAAGATCCTAAACACCCATGGCAAAGGTATAGCTCTTCAGCACCAGACTTGGTATCATCTGCTTGAGCTTGTCCTCTTTCCAGAGAAAACCTCCTTCCTTGCCTTGGCCTTCAATCTCCAGCTTCCTGGGTTATCACTTTGTCTGGATGCTTTCAACAGCATTGTGCTGGATTTTAAAGTTATACTGGACTTACAGCAAAATTGAGTTTCTTTGGCTATGTCCCCAGAAATTAAGAGTATTAGAAAATTCTGAAGGGTTCTTTCATTGTATGCCTGAACTAGGTTTATCATCATCCCCTCCCTAGGTAGCTAGGCACAAGAGCCACATAGGGCCTATTAGGAAGAGATTTACCCTCGGGCAGTGGCAAAAGTGGTTTGGTCTAGCCTCCATGAGCCCACCTGAAGGAGTAAGGATTTGAAAAGATTTATCTTATCCTGGGTGAGTACATTTCTACTTTCTGCAAATCACACACCAAGAGTTTGAGAACTTCTATTTCTGACAGCTTAATCTCTGATGAAGAGAAGAGTCACAGTGGGATTAGATGTGGAATAGAGTCATTGTTGAAAAGGGAGAGGTGGGAAAGCAACTCCCAAGGATGTGACTTAATTTCCTCTTTGGAGTGAAAGAAATAACCTTATTTGAAGTGCCCAATCTAAAACAAAGCACCAAAACACTAAAATCCTGACAACAGACAAATATATACATATATATGTGTGTGTGTATGTTTTATATATATATATATATATATATAATTTTTTTCAATGACAGTCCTCCATTCTAAGGCTTGAGTTTCAGTCACCTAATGGAAGACCCATATGTAAACATAACAATACAAATAGGCAGCACGAGGACCTCTAAAAACAAAGGCTCACTACATGTGAGAGCATCCATCCCTCATTTGTTAGTCTCATAAAATTCACTGACTACCCTTTAACAGTGGACAAGAGGATCAGGTGCGGCAAACTAAGCATGAATTGGGGTTGTTTAGGAGGATGATGGGCTCCTATTGCTTTAAAAATTGAAGTGTTTCCTAAATCTCACTTGCAGGAATTTTGCATATTTTCCAAAATGATTTTTCTTACTACCAAAATGTATGTATATTCCATCTTGTTGCTACAAGAATTTGAGTCCTAGTTTCTGTCAATTATCTTTTTCTCTTTAACCTGTAGCAAGATATTAGACATAGATGTTGATGAGGATTCTTTCTGTCCAATTATTGTCAAAGCACCATTCAGGTGGAAAGATAGATCAGACTCTGATGAAATTACAACAGCATCTTGTAGACTGGAAAAAACTCGCTCTCAAGTCACTTAACAGTGAAGACAATAAACAAAAATCAGGTATTTAGTTATACATGTAGATAGATAAATGATTAAATAGACACTGTTTTTTGCACTGCTGACAAGTGTTCAAAACTCTGACATAAACGTTGCCAGAGTGGAGAAGACCTCAGTGCCTTTATCACACTATTGAATAAGCTTCCAAGATCTTTTCAAAGTCACTGAAAACAGCTGGTACCAGCAGTGGATGGAAACCACGGTTTACAGTTAGAATGTCTAAGTGTCACCATTGTCTTTGCTCTTCAAGGCACAAGGACAAGTTCCAAACTTCAGTGCAGAACATCAGATACCACCAGAAGTTAGAAAAGCAAAGCATGGAGCCACATGCTGAAACGAGAAGTGGAGATTCTTTGGGGTGACTATAATCTTCAGATGCTGAGCTCGCCCCACCAGCAAGTTTCCCCATGTTAGACACAATGGGAAGGTTGCCTATCCTGAGTACCTTGGTCCACTCTGCAGAAAGAGTGCACTGCATCCCATGCCTGGCTTGGCAGTCCAGCTCCTTCCCACCTGGGTACAGGAAGAAGGTACAGAATGCCATCCTCAAGATCTGCAGGGATTCGTACTTCCTATAGTGAATGACTGAATGGTAGGAAGGAGGTCAGTAGCCCTTGAGAAAAGTCTGCAGAAGAGGGATGTCCTTGATGGACACAGGCCTGGTTACTTCACCAGCCACAGTCTTAGGCTGTTAAAGAAAATCGATTTCACCCCCTTACTGTCTCATCTTACTATCACCCTCAGCTCCCCCAAATATTAGGTATTAGCATTTTCTGTATAACTTAGCCCCCACCATGAAACATCATCAAAATGGAAAAAATTTAATTCATCTTCCTTTTTTTTGGCTTGGAATATTCATTTGTATTTACTGTAACATTCCTTAGGTGGGAAAAGATATTGCACTTCTGAAAATGCATCAGAGTATAAAGAAGTCTAAGCTTAACAGATCGGCGGACTTCTCAGAGTACACACTCTCTGAAGACAACTTTCAGCAACTGTAGAAAAGCGCCTAGAACTTTGTCTCTGTGTCAACGAACTGTGGCCACACTGCGGCGAGCTTTGAAATACAAAGGAAGACAGTGTGATCACGAGCTTCATGTGATGATGTGTCCACAGGTTCAGGACTTCATTGTGCAGATGGGCACAACAATGACAAGAATGACTGTGCATGCAGCAGCGGCGATCAGAGCAGCTATCTTGCAGACTTTGGCTCGTCTAAATTCAGCTTCCTTCCGTTTTAATAAAGAATCATAGCCTGGAGTATAAATATCTTCCATCCAATATTCTAAGTTGTTTGGGTTTAAAGATTCTTGTGTCTATAAACAAAAAGAAGATGTTATAACAATGGTTAATACATGAAACCAGGACAAAGACATCCCGACAAGTGTCACTCCTAAAGCACTTAAGTGTTGTCTGCTGCTGGTAGCTAGCTAGCAACAGCAGTATCACAAGCTGTCTCCCTGAGGCAGGTTACCAAGGACCCATCCCATGCATCACAGCCTGCCACCCCCCTCATTAAGACACCAGGACTGCTTTGACATAGGGAAGTCCAAGGGTCATCTATACATATGTAAGCAAAATAGTCAAGATGAACATGACTCTCAACTTCAAAGGTATGCAGCCAAGAGCCAGCAGGCTGGCACCACTGAGAGGGAAGTAAGGAAAGTCACTGAGAAATATTCTCTGCCAGCGGGCTCTAAGGACACATCTGCTTGAAGCAAGACCATCTTACCACTCTAAATAAGCTCATTTCTCAGGAAAAGTTCTACTAAAGTCAAAGTCACCTCCAGCTCAATCTAAACACCAAACATTTCAGTTTCCAATGTGTCTATGAGCAGGTCAGATCATTGCTCAAAGTCAAGGTCTGCGTACCAATGACAGCCTGTGTTGGTGATGATTCTAGACTTACTTAGTGGAGCTTTCCCCCAAAACTATCTCCTACAAACATATATCTACCCAAGATTAATGAACTGTCTGAAGGGAAAACATATTTAACCTACATTTCCTATGAATCTATTATAGATTTTAAATTATCATCTATTTCCAAAGCAGACTTGTTGTATGGCAAGAATTCAGTAAAGTGTCACAAAAAGCAACAGCATATTACAGTTCCAAGTGAGGCCACCCAAATCTCTAAAACACAAGCCAAATATCCATTTAAAGATTGTTATTGGATTAATTTTTTATAAACACAAACATATTAAAAGTCATACACACAGGATTAAAAAATAAAAATCATGCAACATTTAAAAACCTCAATCATATACTATTGATGAACTCCTGATGACTCTGACACATGCTGGTCATTTTCCACCTGCTCTTCTAGATTCTTCTACACCTTGCTCTGTGTTCCCAGAGCCACAGTGGGGTTCAATCAGGGACCATAAAAGGAGAGAAAGGTAGATGAGCTGGTTCCCCCAGCTCCCTTCCTACTGGACTACAGTTTGACAGCATCTCAGCTCCTACCAGTCTTGGCCCTGGTGTGACAGAAATAGCTTTCTGCCCTTGGCTCTTCAGATCCAAGAACGGCCACAGCTTTTCCTCAGTGCTGATCCCTGGGTGTTTCACTGGCTCTTGCTGGCCCTTAACCTGTTCACACCATAATCAACAGCCCTCTCTTCCATTATCCCTTGGAGCATGCCATCTGCTTCCTGCAGGGTGCTGACAGCCCACTGCCATTCCCTCAAGATTTCATCGCCCTCCTGTTGCTAAACACCATCTCGTCGGGGGGCTCCACAGACTACAGCCTACAGGCCGGTTCCAGCTCACCACCTGTGTCTCTGCAGTCCTCTAACTCAGAATGACTTTTCTATTTTTACAACATTTAAGGAAATCAAATGAAGAATTGCATGACATGTAAACACTGTATGAAACACCAAGCTCAATGTTCAAAAATAAAGGTTATCAGAGGAGTCAGGTCCATTCATCTACAAATCATTTGGAGCTGCTCCAGTCCAACAGTGGTGGAGATGAGCCATTGGCTAGACAGGCTGTACAACACGGCAGAGAGAGAGAGAGAGAGAGAGAGAGAGAGAGAGAGAGGAGGAAAAGGGTGGCTGAAAGTTTCCTATTAACACTGTTTTTAAGTAAGTTCTGCAAGTTATCTAGAAGGGTTGAGGCAGTGTTAGCCACCCAGGGCATCCATAACATAAAGCAGAATGTTCTCAATGTGGGGAAGTCCATAAAGTCCCTTGGCAAGGAACTCCTAAGGCTGTGTCCTCTGTTGGTGTCCCAAACCACATATGTTGGTGTCCCCCACCACATACCCATGCAAACACAGGCATATGCACACACACACACACACACGCACACACACACACACACACACACACACACATATATATATATATATATATGTATGCATATGCATGGGTACTCATCCACAGAAAGAGAGAGAGAGCTGTGCCCTCCATAGACACATTTGGGACCCATTTTCTTTCTTTGGCATGAAAATCCTTCAGTAGCTGAATGGACATTCAAGAAGGACGAGATGGATCCAAGATGGGCCAATCTTGCTGGAAGACTGGTCTGTTGTGGTAAGTAATGTACCAACGAAGACTGGGTTTGGACAGAAGCTATATGGGCAGCCTTGCTTGCCCTATGACCTGGAAGATGTCCTCAGGTCATTATGGCAGAAATGAGCTGCTCTTGTTCCCAGTTTTTGTAGGGCTGGCCCAGGAAATACATGGCCTACACAGGACATATCAGATCTTCCTCGATCCCTCCTCTTGCATAGAAGGAAACTGGCTTCCCTTTGTAACTATCTGTACTTTACTATGGGCTGGGAATCTGCCTGTGAAATAAACTATTTTTAATTAGTTTTTTCAATAACTGCAGGCTATAATGGCATCACAATGCAGAGTGGTGATGCCCAGGTTCCCAGGGATACCGCAAGCATACTCAGTTGTTAATGAGGTCTGCCAAATACTGAAAATAAATCCAGGTCTACAACTTTGCCTCCACCATTAGTGGGTATCACTGATGGAGAATTTCTATCTAGACAACAAAGGGGCCCAAGAAGACAATACAGATGCCAAAACTGGCCTAGGACAGTACCTGACTCTGCAAAGCTATGAGAACAAACTAAGGTGAGACCTTACTGCTCCTGTCTGCCCCCAACGCCTGCTACTTTTGTTGCCAACATCCCTCAAGGCACTGAGCTCTTTATCCCCTCAGAACATGGGACTGTATCCTCTGTCCCTCTGTTTTGAAGCAGCATCACTAAAGCTCAGTAACCCAAACATCTTTTTGTGTTATATTCTATAATTTTTATCTTTATATTTTAAAACACTGGCACATCCAAATTGCACATATTTGTAGATGCAAAATCTCTCAACTCCCTCCTCCTACACTTTAAAAAGACATTCTTCAAATTACCTTCTTTCATGTGACTCTTTCAAGGTCACCTCCAGGGACCGGGTGAAATATTTATTACAACCTGTTGAGCCATTTCAACCTCTGGGTCTTTTCTGGCTGGTAGCTTGTGATCATCTAATTCACACAGATCCAGGGCTAACTCCCATAGCGAAGTTGCACATAAGCTCATTTGTGGGAGACTCAAGTTCTTTTCTAGCCCACATGTCAGCAGGAAGGTAACAGGAAAGACAGTGGCCCAAATATGTGATATATAGCCCATGTGGGCATGTAACAGAGTAAGGAGGAGGGCTGAGGAGGGGCTTGGGGTGTTCTTGCTGCTACCACAGACCTCTTTTCCAGAACTGGGCAAAGCTGCCCCTTCCCATAATTACTACCATTGTGGGGCCTAGGAATTGCAAATGTCATTACAATCACTTTTTCTGATATGAAGCTCCATTAAACACCTATCAACAGAAAAGAGAAAAGCTACAGAGGTCTGAGAAGAAAAAGAACGTGAGACTTATTGTCAGATGGTCCAATATAGAACTAGACTTGTCTGACTTGGGGCACGTGAGCTTCCTGGTGCCTCTGTTTCCTGGTTTGTAAACTGGTGATGCTCAGAAAAATCCCTGCCTCAGAGGCTACTGGGCCTGAAACCAAGAGACTTCTGTGAAAAGCACCTTGTCAGTTGATTGACTGCTGTACCCTCTACCAGCTCCCAAGTGCTGTCTCTGTCTGTGCCTACTCAGTGCCAGGAACTTAATACATATTATTTTCAGTTTTCACAACAATGCTGTTAAGTTTAATATATTCATGCCCGTTTCATAGGTGAGAGGACCAAAGCTCAAGCAGGTGAAGTAAATACTCCAGTTCCTACAGTGAAGAAGCCCTGGATTAGGCCTCAGGGTTGCTGGAACCCAATGTCTTTTCTCTACTATATGTTATTCTTCTCATAACCCTCTTTGTTTTGGAACAAGGCCATTGCAGGGGAGCCTTGCTATACTGGCCCAGTAGGCAGTTCTCTCCAGCCATGCTTGAAGTGCATGGGCATTCTGAAGGTGACTGGTCCCCTTGGTGCAATGGCCATGCTGCTCACACAGCTAAGCCCACATAGGGTGATTCCTTTGCTTTGCAGTGATGTGAAGACATGGATAGACGTGCTGTGAACGGAACCATGTAGAACTGCCCACCAAAATGAAAGTGTGGCTGAAACACAGCCCTGCTGGTAGGTGAACAACAACAACAAAAACATGCCCTCTAGCCACAATGGCATTCACAGACCTTCCAGGGATGGCTCTTACCTGGGGCGGCTCCATATGGAAACATAATCCATAGCTTGGCTCCCATAAACATGCTTATCCCACGTGCTACATATGGAAGGAGAAATCAGCTTGTATTTCATTAAACAGTTTGCCTCAGGTCTTGTGAGCAAAGATTAAAATCTGCACTTGGTTTTAAATGCATCATTAGCAAATCAGATGGCCAACAAATAAATATATAAAACAAGTATCCTCACTTATAAATGTAACAAATAAGCAAAGCATGAATCCCCTTGTTTGTTTGTTGTTGTTGTTTTAATTTCTTCTGAGTTCTGGTTTGTTAGAGTTAAGAATTCTGTGGTAGGGACCCAGGGAGTTTGAAGGGTGAGGGAGTGGACCAATTTAAGTCATCCATGACCTGTTTCTGAATCTGCCAGGCACAGCTAGACTCCTCCCACCCAGAGTCAGAGCCGCTCACCTGCAGGTCCACTGCCGTCAGCTTGCCCTTTTCGCCAGAGTTCCGAGCATACTCCTCAATGGTCCAAGAAGGCTGGCCCCGCTTTACCTCTGCTAGCTCAGTCAGCCGCATGTCTGTGTACAAGGGGTTGCTCTTCATGTGGGACTTGAGGGAGGCAGGGTAAGGGTGAGGACTGAACACCTGCTCCACCAGGAAGCCATCTTTGGGCTGCTTGGGCAGTCGGTGCTGTGGGGGTATATCATACTGCCTGTCTGCCTGCAGAGGGGCACAGAGAAGTCCAGAAAAGCCACAGAGATGCCATCAGGTCTCAGCGTGCAAATGGGCAGCCAGCAGATTTTTATCAACGAGGTCCTGTAGACATTCAGGTAGCAACATGAAGTTATTTATGAACACAGAGAAAGTACACCTGTATTGGGAAAACACCCCATAGAAAGTTTCCAATCCTGGGGCTGGAGAGATGGCTCAGCAGTTAAGAACACTGGCTGTTCTTGCAGAAGACCTGGGTTTGAATTCCAGCACCCACATGGCAGCTAACAACTGTCCATAACTCCAGTTCCAGGGGATCCGACAGCCTCTTCTGTCCTCCGTGGGCATTGCACAACATGGGTGCATAACACTCATACATGTAAAATAAAAGTAATAGCATGCCTTTAGTCCCAGCACTTGGGAGGTGAATCTCTGTGAGTTCAAGGCCAGCCTGGTCTACAAAATGAGTTCTAGGCCAGCTGGGGCTACAAGGAGACCCTGCCTCATAAAGACCAAAAATAAATAAATAAAAATAATAAATACTTTTTTAAAAAAAAAGAAAGTTTCCAATCCTGATAGTACTAACACAAGGAAATATTTCCGTAGCAAAAAGTTTAACCTGATCCTTACTCCATCCTTGCCAGGAAGGACTCCCAATGTACTGTCGTACAAGGTGCCCAGAAAGACTCAGTTATTTGTCCCAGGGCACACAGCTGGGCAAGAATTTAAACATGATCATCCAGCCTTGGAGTCTTTGCTTGAGTACTGCATGTGAATGTCCCCCTCTTTCTTTTCCCATTTTATACCTGGACCAAGTAAATAAAGGTCCAGTTCCTTCCTGCAGGGAGATATCAGAAACCACTGTTGAGACCCTACTGGGGAAGGGAGAAGCCAAGTCAGAAAGCCCACGTAAGGAGTCTCTAGTGACTGTTCATGATGGCAGATGGTCCTTTCAAAGGTATCCGTACAGTGCTCAAAATAAGGGAGCAGTTTAGGCAACAGAGTGGAGGTGGGAAGACTCTATGTCAGTTATGTCCCCAGACCTTGAGGTGCATGCCAGGGGACTCTGGTCTCAGTGGACCTGTAATAACGGGGCCTTTGATCCTTTCCACTTCTGCCTTGAAGCAATCAGTTCTCTGCACAGATGCCCCTCCAGAGAGCACTCTCTGACCTACTGCAACTGGAATGGTGCTCATTTCTGTGACCTTGGAGGACTGTGTGTAGATCCCTCAGCCAGCATTTTCCACAATGAACTGTAACTGCCTGTCTGCTAGTCTATCTCCTCCACAGAACTTGGAATTCCTTCAAGGCAGGGGAGTATCTTGTTCATCTTTTAATCCCGGCTCCAGCAAAAATGGTACTACTGAATACGACACCTCACCACTGTGTGGGCAGGGGACAGAAACCAGTGGTATGAGTTGAGCATGTGAAACAGAAAGCAAAATCCATTACAATGAGAGTAACATCAAGAGAAAAGAGAAGAATGTGAGTATAGGATGTGACATGTGAGTACACAATGAACAAATGTGTGCAGCTGGGAGTGTGCATTTCACACATGTGCACAGAGGCTAGTAGCTCACAGCAGCAAAGCTCATCCACCAGCCCCTGCTCAGAGGCTGTTTCAAACCGCCAAGGCTGCTGGCAGAGCCACACACTTTGCTAAATCCAACAAGAAGATGGGGGGAGGTCCTTTTTTTGTAACTCATCAAAGTCCAGGTTTTTTAGTCTCTACTGGTTCTATTTATTCTGCTCACCAGCACATCCCAACACTCACCAAGCTCCTACTATAAGCAGATCCTGCACCAATCAGGGGTAGAGGAAATGGTCATGACAATATCCATGGTGGCAGTCACTGGGCTATGCATCCAACACTTTGCCTAGTGCTAAATGTGCACCATCGTATGCCATCTTCTTATTAATATAATACTCCGGCATCGTAACTGAACCCCCCCCCAATGTAAATGTGGAAGGTCGGGGAGTTTATGAGACAGACCAAATGCTGCACAGCCAGGGTTTGAATCTGTTCGCGCTTCTAAGAACATCTCATCGCTGCCCAGGCCTATTTCTATCATTGGGAGTTCATGTTCTAAATTACCAGTCGGTGTATACATACATAATATATATGTTTTAGTAAATGTTTGTGCTCAGTACATCTGAACAAAGAGAACTTGAACCTAGAGGTCAGAGACATGTAACAATCCCTATGGAAGCCTCCAAAGACTTACGAATGAAGAGGCCTTGAAGAGTACACAGGGCCCAGATTAGTACCATCCATTCTCACCTTACTCCAAGCACAGAGAAAGTGAATCAGACATTCTTGATAGAGGAATTATGTGACTAAAGGTTTGATGGTCTATCAGGGCCCGGCCATAATCATTACTTAGTATTTACTAAATGGTAACTGAATAAATGCCAACAGCATTGTTAATACCAGTAGACTCGCCAAGGTAGAGCAGGCTTCGGGACAGAATACAATCTTCTGGTCAGAGAGAAGCACATGAAATTCAGACTCAGAGGGTAGGGAGGGGGGACGGAGAAAGGGAGGGAGGGAAGGAACCAAAAAGTTTTAAAGCCAGGATAAGAAGCTTGAGCTTTTTCCCGAGGCAGAGGGGAGCCAAGGAGAATTTGGGAACACTGTGAACCTATAGAGTTTGGGGAAATAAGCACAGAAATGGTCCATGGGATGAGAAGGGAGATGGGAAATGGGTCCCCAAACCCGAGGTGGGACTTGACAGCTGAACTGGAGGGTGCCAAATGGAAATTAAGACAGAGATGCAGAAGATATCACAAAATGCATAGGGATTAGCAGCTGAACTGGGCATGTGTGAGCCACAGCTCAGAGGGGCCTCTTCAGCTGGGAAGATTGCTCTCCTCCATTGGCTTTGAAAGAACAGAAAGTCTGACTCAAGACTTGAGGATTTTTGAGACTTAGATATGGGAACAGGATATTTGTAGGACCTAGTCTTCCAACAGGTTTAGACATAGGACCAAAGCTCAGACAGTGGGCTACCACTGTGTGGATCGTCAGCCCAGAAGTGGTCAAAGGTAAGAGGAAAAGCAGTGTCACAGTGAAAATAGCCACACAGTGCAGAGGGCTCGCTTCGAGCATTAGCAGCTTTAGGCAAGGCATTTCAAATAGATCTCACTTGATATTGTAGCTATTCTTGTTGCTTTGCTGAAGTGTTGGAGGTAAAGCTGATTTAGCCTGGCTTGGTATTCCTACAGAAACACCTAACCATTTGAGCCCTCTAATAGCCATTTTTCAATGTTATATAAGATCTAGAAATCTAGCCTGACTCTGGTATCCAGAGTGAGCAGCTGTGAGGAGAGTAGCACGGCATGGGGTACTAGAGTCTTCTTTGACAGCAGAAAAAAATGCTACTTTAATTTTGTCTTTTCCCTCACTTTGGACCCTGAACTGAAACCTGGTTTTCCAAGCTCCTTTCTTTGCACCATTTGAGAAACTCACATCTGTTCTCTGACTTAGCGGCCCTGAAGCTCACCCCATTACTCCCTCTCTCTGATAGTCCAGCCCTCAGAGACCTTGGCAGGATAGGGTGTCCAGGCAGACCAGACAGGTTCATGGTCTGTGCAATGACTACAGAAGCCAAGAATGGAATGGAGACATGATCACCTTGGCAGAGGGGAGCTCACGGGAACCCAGGAGTGAACGGATGCAAGTCACCTAGAACAAGCCTCCTCACCACAGGGGACAGGAGGTGGAAGTGTTTGAATACACACACATGCACGGATTCCAGAGCTGATGGAGTGAGGCCTGTGATAAATGTGCAAAAGCACACTCATATGAAAAGTGTGGGACACACATTATGTAGGGAGAAAAAGACAATAAAAGAGGAAAAGGGGTGCCATTTAAGCCGCTATTTTTCCATGGTGGAATGATGGAATAATTTCCTTATTCGTTTTTAAAAATTTTAAATTTATTATTAATTTTTATTTTTTATATGTACGAGTGTTTTTGCTTGCATGTATGTAAGTGCACCCATGCCTGCAATGCCTGCAAAGGGCAGAAGAGGGTGTCGGATTCCCTGGAACTGCAGTTACAGATGGTTGTTAGCTGCCATGTGAGTGCTGGGAAATGAACCCGGGTCCTCCGCAAGAGCAGCCAGTGCTTTTACGTGCTGAGTCATCTCTCCAGCCCTATTTCCTAACTCTTACTAGTCAAATATTTACCTTATTGTGAAAAAGCTCATAGTATCAAAAGGAATATCATGCATGCAACAAAGCTCATGAAAGTAACAATCAACAAGGGAGGACACTTACAAGCCACTTTCCCTGCTTGCCTGGCATAGATCCTGATGCTTCAGCAAGGATGAGAAAATATCCTTGGTGATGGCCTGCCTGCATCGTCACCCTCCTCATTCTATGAAATCTGTTTTCACACCACCTGTCCAGTATCCCAACTGCACTGTCTACTGTCGGCAACAACACAGCGGGAGCTCCACCCAACTGACTGGCAGCTTGGCAGAGAGAACAACATGCCCAGGCTGTCCTCTCTATTCTAATGTGCTGAACCTGCCAAAACTAAAAGGGTAACCGACAGGGCAAGAGTGACCAGCAAGAGGACAATGCTTTTCCCTGGTTTCATGAACTGTCTGTTTTGACAGTGCTGACGCCGACAGTGTGGGAAGTTAAATTGCAATTACCTCCTTGGATTTTCGGCGCCAGTCCTTGCTATCTCCTGGGCCTTCTTCCTTTACGTCCTCCTCATTGAGGCCCATGCGGTTGGTGTACGTGATGGTTCGCCAGTCTCTGGGAGAGTTGGAGATGCTAGCGATTTTGGACTCTGTGGCACTGTTCTCCTCCGTCAGAGACCTAGAAGACGGCCTGGTGAAGAGGCTTTTCTTTAAGGCTTTGACGCGCAGGCTTTCACTGTTGCTTCCACTGGCATCAGAACAGCACCAGTCTGGGCTGTTCTCCAATTTGGGTCCGTGGGAGGCATTCTGGGCGCGGAAGACCCTGGGAGAGGCACTGTCATCAGAAGGTGCCTCACTGGTCAAGGAGTTCAGGTCGATCTGCATATTTACTTTCTCCGGCTGCTGTATTTTCTGATCTAGTTTATTTAGTTTGCCTAGGACCTGGGAGATTTCTTCACGGACCCCTGACAGTGACTCCAGCTTCCGTTCAATCTCACCGATTCTGAGAACCAATTTACACACACTGGTCTTCAACTCTTCTTCTGAGTGATGGGTGTTTTCAGGCCGGCTGCACTTGCCTCCCTTGCTGTTGGAGACCCCACTGGCGAGTTTGGCAAGGTTGTGCTCTGGAGAGCTCTCGCAGTCTGACTTCTGAAGTTGAGACAAGGAGCCAGTGCTGTTGTAACAGGACGACTGTATCACCCCCGTAGAGCCACTGACACTCATGTCATCGAGAAATCGGAAAATGTCACTGATGTCATCGCTGACGATTTCCGAGTCATCGTCCGAATGCTTCATGGCATGCCTGTCACTGTACTTGCCCTGTCCAGAGGTGCACAGGTCTTTGCATTTTTTGGGATCCAGCACATGCTGCTCTGTCTGTGTGCCCACACTGCTGGTGTCTGAGCTGAGCTGCCCAGTGGTGCAGCTGATACTCTTGTCTTTAAACTTCTTGACTGCTTCATGCTTCTCCAGGTCCACGGGGGAGGAGATCTCTTTAGATTTGAGACCATTTGGTTTTGCTACATAACCGACAGGTAGAACCTTCTGTTGATCCTTTGGCACCAGGTAAGCTGGATGCCTGTCTGGGGCTGAGAAATTGGGGGTCTGACTGCCGGAATTTGGATAGCGCAGCTTCTCTTCAGAGGGATTTCTACTGAAAAAGGACCGCTCAAAGTCTGGAACTTCCTCCGTGTTTAGGCTCCAGCTTTTGGCGGGCCATGGGGTCTGTTTACTGGGCCTCCCTGGACAGCGCCTGGTATCTTGTGTTCCCATCACTGGAGTGGGTCCAAAATAGGTAGAGGCTTGAAGGTCATCTAAGCTTTCATGCTTTACCCGCCTTTTGTCAGGGATGGGGGAATAAACTGGATTTAAGTACTGGCTGTGGTAGGGCATCTCGAAACTGTGATTAAAGAAGGGTGGCTTGTGGGGTTCCTTCTGATTCTGGGGATCCCCATGCTCCCCATCTGCTTTGTTAGTGGGGCCAACCAAGCTAGGGGACACCGCCATAAGATTATGGAAGTCTTCTTTGAAGATGTTCCTTTTCTGAACACAGGACTGAACCACAAATGGCTCCTCGCTGGAGATGAAGGTCTCCTTGATGCCTTGGCTGATGGGCAGAGAATCCTGATCGGAAATGGACTCATTCTCAATGTTCATTGGAAAATAGGTCCTCTGCATCTCACAGGGCTGAGGACTGGCTACAGAATAAGGGGACAGGGCTGGGGACAGGGCTGGGGACAGGGCCTGCAGCCTGTCCAAGGAAGCAGCTCGGTTTTTGACCTCTTTGCTGACACCCAACAAGAAGTTGGGCTCAGAGGCAGGGACAAACTGTGGGCAGTCCTTGAAGTCCATCTTCCGGCACTTGGATGACTGCCGGGTGGGGTACCCTCGGCTGAAAGGTCTGTCACTCAGCTCACAGTTCAGAGGCTCACACTCCACAGCATTGCAGACCTCTGTGTCTGATCTGCAAGATTCAAAGGATGACTCCTTCTTGTGTACCTTCTGGCAGCCCGCTGGCAGCTTCTCCCTGGCAGTGCCCCCATTCATTTGGATCAGGTTGAAGATAGTCACAATATCTGCTGCTACCATGATCTTCTTTGATTGCTGGTTATTTACAGAGCATTTCATCTTGTCTTTGAATAATGTGGCTGGGAAGTTGGGATCGAGACATGCCGTGTAGAAAAGCACACTTCTCAGTTTGGCAAGCTGTGACAGATCAAATCGGGCACACAGTGATTTGCACAGGTCCTGATAGGAAACGGTATTTTGCTTGCTGTCTAGTTCTTCCAAGATCTTCATCAAAAAGAGAGACGTTTCCTGATTGGCCTCCATGATTTAGAATTTGCAAGCACACTGACTACACTGGAACTTCAATCAGTTCTGACAATAGCAGAAAGAAAGAGAGGGAAAGCGTTATAAACACCAGCACAGTTTAAGTCCAGCTTGTTACAACCCATTCAAAGAAATGCAAAGAAAGCATTTTAACAACTAAAACTCTACTCAGAGCTTTAAATATCCACAACATTTGACTTAATAATTCATTTCCCAGGAATCTACCTCAAAGAAAAGATCAATGACAAATATTCATGTTCACTATATGTCACTTATAATAGTTAAAAATTATTGTAACTGTCCAAATAATAAGAAATAAATAAAGCAGGTTAGGAGAAACAATGAACTATTATGAATGTAAAGATTTCATGAATGCATGTTTTTATAATGAACTGCTCCTTAAAAAGAACACACTATTAGCACATGCAGCCCAAATGAAAACAGGAAGGAAAAGAAGCCAGCACGATCAGCTACATACTATACTGCACTGTACCATTCCACTTTTGCCCCTTCTAAATATAGATTAGTGACTGCCAAGGATTAGATGTGAGGGGCATGAAGAAATTTTTCTAGAATGATGCTCTGCATCTTGGTAGTGGTAGTTTCTATATACATTTATCAAAACTCACAGTCCTGTACACTTAAAAGTGTGAGTTTGGGGGACTGGAGAGATGGCTCAGTGGTTAAGAGCACTGGCTATTCTTATAGAGGACCCAGGTTTGATTGCCAGCACCCATATGGCAGCTAACAATCATCTATAACTCCAGTTCCAGGGGATCCAATACCCTCTTCTGAACTCCATGGGCATTGCACGACATGGGTATACCTACCTACATGCAGGCAATATACTTAAACATGTAAAATAAAAAATAAATATTTTTTGAAAGTGTGAATTTTACTGTACAAAAATGATAACTTAAAAGTTATATAAAACATTTGTGATAAAACAAGCATGATTTATTATTGAGAAAAAAATGTGAAAATAAATCTCCATAAAGTCAAGTCTTAGTGATATAAAATTATGTATTCTTGGAAAAAAAATGAAAGAAAATGATGTGCACTAACATGCAAATAGTAGTTGAGTTTGGATTTTAAATATGGATCTCTTTCTGAAACAGAATTTTCTTCATCCCAATATTTTATCATGCAAATTTTTAGACTTACATGAAAGTTGAGTAGAGATTATAGTGAATATTCTCACTCCACCATCTGGACTTTTGCCATTAACAGTTTACTGTATTTGGTTGAGCACATATCTGTCCTTCATGAGGACATTTTATTTTTTTCATACACTTCAAAGTATAAATTCTATACACATCCCCCAAATACTAATCTAATACATCATTATCCCAAGTTCAATAATAGTTCAGTTTTTCTTTTCCTATAAACTTTACATACAACAAAGAGCACAAATATTAAGCGTGCCTTGGCCAGAATGGACCAATATGCATATCTGTGTAGTAATCCATACCCAAATAAAGATCTAGAAATGCTCTCCTCTACCCCCAAAGTCCCTGATATCCACTGTTCTTATTTTATTTATAAGCATTTTTACTTTTATATTCATATTTCTAAAATCCCTACAATGAAGGAATATTTTTCAATCACCAAATATTAAAAATCCTGGCTTTGACCTGCCATGCCTGCAAAGGAGGGTCCTGCTGGACAGGTGTCGCCACACCTCTGCCTGCTGTGCACACTCATGGAAAAGCCTCTTCATCAGCCCTGCTCTGGAACTTAGCTCTGCCACTAAACAGCCCAAGAAATGTCTGCAAGCTTCCTTTTAGAGAAAAGCAACCCCTGAGCCTTGGCCCTTTTTTGTTGTTGTTTTTAATGTATATTTTTATTAAAATTTTGTGCATTTCATACAAAATATTTTAATCATCTTTATACCACTTGATGCATCTGCGTCTAACTATAGCCCCCACACCAGATTTCATGTAATCTGTCGTATATGTTAAGGCCTATGGAGTCAAGTTAGTGTGCCCTAATGTCCCTCAGTGAAAGTCCATCCAGCCTAAGTAGAGTCTCTCCCTTAAAGACCAACTCTCCCTCACCCAGCACTAATCAGCTGACAATAGTTCCTTGGTTAAGGTTAGGGCCTGCTGCCCATTTCCCATTTCTATGCTGGGTTTCTATCTGATGAGTTTGCATGGGTCTTGTGCATGATGACATCATTGTTAGAAGTTCATACAAGCAAGGGCCAAGGAGCCTGTAAGACTCAGTCTCCTTATCACCATGTACCTCCTCCCCTTGGTCTTACAATCTCTCTGCCCTCCTCTTCCACAATGGTCCCTGAGCCCTGGGTGGGTGAAATTGAACAAGGAGTTCTGTCCAGGGACCCGCATTCTGCAGACTCTTACTCTCTACACTTTGGTCAGTTGTGGCATTCTGTGTTCATTGCCCTCTGTTGCACAAGGAAGCTTTGCTGATGAGAGTTGAAAGACGCATTAATAGTCTCTCTACCCCTTGTTCCACTACATTCTGTGAGCCTTGGGCACAGATGTTCCATTGTAGATGAGTTACTTAGGGTTGAGCATCTCACAGACACTTACTCTCTGTGTGTGACCAGTTGTGGGACTCTGTAATAGTCTCCGTCTGTTGCAAAAGAAACTTCTTTGATGAGTGGTGACTGGCATACTTGTCTGTAAATATAAGGATCCAAATTACATTTGTCTAGGGATGTGACAGACTTAGGGTTTTCTCTAAGATCTATGACCTCTAGCCATGCGTATTTGGCTATGTTTACAGTGACATACATGAGTTCTCTCCCATTGAATGGGCCTTAAGTCCAATTAGGTAACTGTTGATTATTCCCTAGATAAAAAAGTGCCACTATTGCACAATATAGTTTACTGTGCCAGTCACTGTTGTGGTTATTAGACTTTAAAACTGAGGTTGAACCATTGATTTTCTCCCTTAGCAGCTTGCACAAAATCCTCTAGAACTATGAGAGCTAGTCTTAGGGGAGGTGGCTTCCAGGTCAGTTCCAGCTCCACTGCTCCAAGTCCTGTGTCCAAAGTTGTCATGTCTTCAGCAATAGAGTTTTACCTGGGAGGTAATCAAGAGCTGTGACAATGAACTGTGTTATTTTGAGATTCTCTTGGACTACCCTGACCAACAACTCAAAGGGAGGTTTCTCTGTCTGGCACAGTGTTTCTTGTCATATGGCCTTCAACTATACACATGCACTCATGTATAGATCTTGTATGTGTAATTTTTCAGTGGGCTTTTGAACTGATATATTTCCCTCTAGTTTTTCATACCAACTACACACTTTATCTCTCTCTCTCTCTCTCTCTCTCTCTCTCTCTCTCTCTCTCTCTAACCACCCCTCCTCCCCCTCTAGTTGAAGTATTCTCATTTTCCCCATTTCTCCCTTGAAAACACTGGTCTCCTATGACATCCCCCCTTGAGCTCCTTCTTCTATTTTACCCCGTTTGTATTTTGTATAACCCTCCCTTTCCCCTTTCCAGTTAAATCCCCCCATTTTACCCATTTCCCCATTGGTAACACCTGTCTCTTACTATGCCTCTCCCTCAGGCTCCTTCTTTCCCTTGACCTCCATGGTTTCTTTCTATTTTCCTGGCTCCTGCAGTTACATCAGGATATATACTCATATAAGGATTTGGTGCTAAGATTCATAAATGAGGGAGTACATGTGTTATTTGTTTTTATAAGTCTGTGTTACTTCACTTAGTGTAACAGTTTCTAGTTCCATCCATTTACCTACAAATTTCATGATTTCATCTTTCTTTACCACTGAGTAAAACTCCATTGTATAAATGAACCACATTTTCATTATCCACTCGTCAGTTGAGGGGCACTTAGTTTGCTTCCATTTCTTAGCTGCTGTGAGAAGAGCAGCAACAAACTTGTAGGTACAAGTATCTCTGCAGTAGGATGAGTCCTTTAGGAATATGCCAAGGAGTGGTATAGCCGGATCAAATGGTAGGTTCATTTTTAGTTTTTTTAAGAGTTCTCCACACTGTTCTCCATAGTAGTTGCAGGAGTTTGTGAATGACCAGTAGTGAATGAGTGTTCCCCTTTCCCCATATCCTCTCCAGCATTTGGTATCATTTGTCCTCTTGATCTCAGCCAGTCTGACGGGGGTAAGATGAAATCTTAAAGTAGTTTCGATTTGCATTTTCCTAGTTACTAAGGATGTTGAACACTTTTTAGTGTGTTTCTTATCCATTTTTATTTCTTCTGTTGAGACCTCTCTGTTCAGATCCATAACCCATCTTTTAATTGGATCATCTGTTTTCTTGATTCTTTGCTTTTTTACTTCTTTATATATTCTGGATATTAATCCTCTGTCAGATGTGTAGCTGGTAAAGACTTTTTCCTATTCTGTGGGTTTCCTCTTCACTTCTGTTGTTTCTTTTGCTGTACAGAAACTTTTTAGTTTAATGAGGTTCCATTTGTCAATCGTTGACCTTAATTTATAAGCAGCTGATGTTCAATTTAGAAAGTCCTTTCCTACACCTATGTCTTGTAGGTTATTGCCAACGTTTTCTTCTAACAGTTTCAGAGTTTCAGGTTTCACATTGAGGTCTTTGATCCATTTAGAGTTGACTTTTGTGTAAGGTGGAAGGTAAGGATCTAGTTTCATTCTTTTACAAGTGGAGATCCAGTTTTGCCAGCACCATTTGTTGAAGATGCTGCCTTTCCTCCAGTGCGTGTTCTTGGCCCCTTTGTCAAATATCAGGTGGTTGAAATTGTATGCTCGCCAGACATTGGGTCACCTGCCACACAGCGAGGCCAGCCTAGCCAGCCAGCAGGACAAGGTGTCTTTCCTTGCCATTTTGCTCAGTTTGTGGGTCATTTCCTGTTTACTGCTGTGTTTGTCACCTCTCAGGCACATCAGGCTAGCCAGTCCCCTCCCCCTTCTCATCATACTGTCCAACTTCCTTGATGACTGCTCTATAGAAACATCAAGTGCCATTCCAGTCTAGCCATATCTCCTGCACTGGCCCTAGGCCACACTGGTGTTTCCCCTAGAGAAGACAGGGACCTCAACCTGTGCCCCCAAAGGTCCTGAGGCC